TGCTCAGTGTTAGCCATTGTTAATCTTCAAAACTGACTAGGTTACTTTTAAACATATAACACTGTCAAAAGTGTTAATTTAACACTCAACAGTGTTGTATTTAACACTCAGAGGTGTGGACCCATATAAACACTCTCTAGTGTTAATTTAACACTGGAGATTTTGCTGTGAGGGACAGAAAAACTGAAGCAGAAAAAGTGCAAACTTCACCAACATCTGATGATGTTTTTGCACACTTCCGGTTACATGCAATCACGTGAAGCTGAGATCTTTGATTTCATCTTTATGTTTCTTGTTTTTCTTAGTAAATAATTAAAGCTAATATGCACTCCCATCCCACCACCACTATGGTTGCAGGTCTTTGACTACGGTCCCATCATTACATTTCCTGCTCATCTATGTCCATTGAACTGAACAGCTGGAGACCAGCCAGACTAGCAGAAACCAATTATCAAGACTTGATTGTTCCCCGTCCTTTCCAAAAAATTATATGAAGCCATAAACGTCTTGTGGAAAATTGCATCTTATGAGGAGCTGGCTGCAATGCTTTTGATGAATAGGATTGTACTCTTTTTATTCCTCTTCACTATATTCTCTCTTAAGTAACTTCGGTTTAGCTGTTTATGAACTCAGAGAACTTTAATTTCTGCTGTTTTATCCAAGTAAATCATAGCAAAAGAATCCTGGCCTTTATTAGAGATCTGATATTTACAAAGAGCACATGTCAAATAAAATACAGCACTGATGTACTGCCTCAACCCTTGTGTCAAATCAAACACCAAATTGTCCTCTAAGTTTAGTTTACATGATGAGTTCAACAGTAAATTATTGAAAAATTAGCAAATATTTGAATGAATATTTAATTTTTTATGTAAATCTGGTGAAGACAGTGTTGTTAATATATAGTATAGTCACATGATAAAGAAATCACATATTTTCTAGACTTATGGGCAGCAACAGTTGCTTCTCTAAGGTTGGTGATGTATTTCCTCTTTGACATTGTTTCAACAGCGAAAACCATATTTTTATAGATGTGCTCATATTTGCTGATGATCAGTTAATCCAGTAATTTGATTAGCAGGACATGGCTGCTACTTACCCTGTTATTTCCTGTGGAAGTAGTAAGGATGGAATTCGTTTTTCAAACATTGCTTCTGCATTTTGACTTCATTTTTGGTCAATACAAAAAGACCTTCTTGCTTTGCTGTTCATTTTTATGTAAGTAGTTTTAAGACCTGCTAAATATACGGTCATTTTTATGATGCTCTTGCACATAACATCTTAGAATTAAGAGAGGCAACATTTTACATGTACATGGCTACATTTTTACAGAGACTTCTTTTAATTTCAGCAGCATAAACAATAAAGTAAAAGAGTCCTGAACTGAAATAATAGATGTAAAATATGTAGACCAAGGCTTCTGCGAGTGATTTAGGTTTGGTGTAGTTCCACTGTTTTAAAACCTCAGTGTACTGACTTATTCCCATTACTGTTTTAACAGTGTGGCTGGGAAACTTTGGGGGAAATGGCTCTTAGCCTCAAGAAGCACATTATCCTCATTTCACCTTTTCTATACTTTAATGAAGTCAATAAAAGTGACTCCTTGTATGAATGCTGCTTTAGGCAAGCCACACAAGACTGCTAGCCCACAGTCTATGAAAACAGAATAAGATACAAAGTGAACTTAAATGTTCAATTAATTGCCTTTGAAATCAAGCACAAAGCAGAGGTTTCAAAAACCCTCTCTCGCTCTGACAGGAGCCGGGCCTGAATCCTCTGTAGATACTGGTAAGGACCACACCTTGATGACCTAGTAGATGGCTATATACATGGTTAGACCCCAGTCATATAAAGAAGCCAACTACCAGTAAGAAAGGAAAAGTGTAAATTCTACAATGCAAGTAGTTGCTGTCAGTCCCTAATGAGAAACTGGTTACAAAGAAATACACAGTGTTGCATTGACAACCTCTTTGCAATCAATTTGGTCTGTAGCAGGTTGCCGTGGTTGCCAGTAGTTTTTGTGTTTCCCTGCAAACACTAACAAACTACCCAAGAGCTGTACTGAAACTGTGAAATGTGTGATGTAAATCAGAAACCATATGCCTTCAAAGTAAAAGATGTTCCTTTGCAAATGAGTTAATTGCAGACAAAATGTTTACTTGTAAACAGTCTCTCTTTCTTTATTGCATCACAGATTTTTTTTTTAAGTTTCACTACAGCTCAAAGAATGATTGGCAAGTGCATCTTTCATGCAAACTGAGAGTGAAAACTGCAATGTGCCAGCAACCAAAGCAACCATAAAGGGATGTTGGGTGCTTTCTGCTTTTCTTTAAACTTAGCAAGAGTCAGGAGCACCCAGCAGCTCCTCTTCAGGGAATACACATTTTTCTCTAGCAACTGGAGGCTGTCAGGGGGTCACATAGGCCTGTGTGACTGAGGCCTTATTGTACCTGGCAAGCTAGCATTACCCAGGATGATGTTTGGCAGCTTAAATTTACAAATTGGCAATCTTTAAATAATCTGTGTTTCACTAATTGTTGTGTCCCACAAAGTTTGCTCTTTGAGTTACTTATGGATTGTTAACTGGTGTCTTAACTCTATCACATACTTAGGACCATGAGTAAGAAGGGTTGCCTCTCTGTAAATGAGAAAATTTGAGCATCACGACCTTAAAGATCCGCTTAACATCTTTTCAGGTCTTAAGTACACATAAACAAACGTGATCCAAGATCTTTTCACATGACATGTCTTTTGTTTTGAATTTTATGCCGTGCTGCCATTTTTTACAGATTTTGCATTTCTCTCTCTGATGCTTAATACCTACAGTACAAGACAGGTTTTTCTATAAGAAACCTAAAAAAATAAACTATGGACACCTCCGGGTTTTGTTGACTTGCTTGAAAATGAGAGCCATAAAATCATAATGTAAGCATTATGACACGAAGGCTTTTTATTCACCGGGGAATAATCAATACTGGAGGAAATTAAAGGCTTTTCAAGCAGTGTTTCAGAAGAATGTGCTTTGATTTTTTGTGGTATTATTTGATTCATAACACTTTTCTGAACCATTTTATTTTTTGGTTAGATTTCAAAGTTGTATTCTCCCTGTTTTAAATCAATGTGAAGTGCAATATCCATTCTTGATCCACCTGCAGTTCCAACATTTCTTGTCCATTCTCATTGCTTGTCGTAGCTTCTTCTGCCAAGACTCAAAATGTCCCACACTGTCATCCCATCATATCCTTGTTGCTCTGTTCACTGACATACTGCATGCTGCTGCCAGTTGGTGTTTTCTCCCTGTTAGTGTTGAAGGCATCTCAAATTCAATCTAATGCAGCATTTTTGGCCTGTGAAGACTTCAGTATCCCACAATTTACTGACAGATATATAGACCGTAGATAGTTGGTGTTTAGGTCTGCATGTGTGTACTTACCCACTGAAATGGTCCACACTGCCATGATCTTGATGCGGGCCTTGGTGTGAGAATTGAAGCGGCTGTGGTGGATTGGGTTGCGTATGGCAATGTATCTATCCAGAGAAATGGCACAAAGGTGCATGATGGATGCTGTGGAGAACAGGACGTCCAGATAGATCCAGATGGGGCAAAGATCAGAGGGCAGGGGCCAACCGTAATCTGCAGAAGGGCAGAGAGTACATATTTGTTGAATCTGTGAAAATAGCTTTACCTGGATGAACAATGGTGCTTTAGTCTCAGTGTTCCGGATGATATCCTCCAAAAGGCAATTTCACTGCATTGTATCAACAGTGATGCATTTTAGTGCTGTGTGGTGTCAACATTACATCTTCTGCTACTTGACTGATAAATATCTTTCTTCAATTATTTAAAACTGCATTTTTAGTTAAGCTTTATTTACACCTGACTGATATTCACAGACTTAAAATTAAAATTCAGTAGAGACCATTTATTGAGAACATGCCACTTAAAAACGTGTTTCAAAATCACTCAGAAATGGTACTTTTCAAATACTGATGTTTTTAAGCAACTTTCATTTAAAATCACTCTTGATCTTAACTGTCAGCGCTTGACCAATGAGGTGAATCCATGAATGAGTTTGGGTGCACAAAATTTGGAATTAACAAAATCACAGAGGAGAAAAACACTGTGCGAGCTGCTGAAAATGTTGAAAAATCTCTGCATAGCATTGTTTCTGGCAGGCCGTAGCCTGAAGCTCAGCCAGCAATCTTGGCAGATCAGTTGTTTTCAAAATCATCAGCTGATTGCTCTGCGGATACTCAGATGAACATCCTATTGGCAAATCTCACAAATCTCACAACCTGCTTCAGCCTGCATACAGTGGGAGCTGTCACTGTATGCAGGCTCATGCTCCTTCACAAAGCCACCTCCACCCTCATTTCTTCCATATCATGCTATTCATGTTCTTTCTCACTTAATTAAAGTCATGTCATTGTTACTGATAAGACAAATCTGCAGCTGCTCTCGCTGCCTTTTGACTTTGCACATTTGTGAGTGGCAGGCCAGGAAGGTCTCAGAACAGAGTCCCACTTCCAAACATAAATTATTGTCACTGAATAATAATCTTATTTTATTTAGTCTGAAAGGTCCTCAGAGAACTGACATTAGAAGAGATCATGATATGAAATTAAACTATTTTTCTTGGATTATTATCAAAGAAGAATCCAGGTTTAATTTTGTTATAAAATGTGTCTGAGCAGCAGTACAAAGTAACACTCAAGAGAATGCTTATCCTTTTTCACAAAGACCATTGAAATTCCCACAAGAGCTTGCATTTAAGCTAGTGGAACAAAGCCTAACCTGGTCATGACCTCACTGTTTTACTTCTTCATGGCTCAATCCAGTTTAGAAATGGAGGTAGTTTAAACCTCAACTGCTGCATTGGAATCTTAAGAATAATATAGTATTGTAATATGTGTAAAATGACCTCATGCTTGGGTATATTTTTAGCAAGAAATATGCCCACAAGATACCTTAAAAGGTGGTATTTGTGCTTCTTGTTGATATATTTAATTTGCTGTCCCAAGTGAAGTAATGTTAATGCTTTACCAGTATGCTGCTTTGAAGAATTAGCTGAGCCTCAAAGTGAACGGTATGTTTGCATTCTCGTCTTTGCAAGCTTTATGTACTGTTTGAAAGAATCAGACCGAGGATAAAGGAGGCATTAAAATTTGTTTCCTACTGTATCATACAGGACTCAGAGACATGAGTGAGGAAATGGATTTTCTGCTTTTTAACACAGATTGGAGCCTGCTGATGTGGCTCGGGCATCTACACGGAAAGTATGGAACCATGGTGCATAACTGCAAGAACAAGAAAAAGCAGGAGGCATGACACCACAGAAGATGAAACATGAGGACTAACTGGAAAAATACAGTCACTATACCTCATGTACTGAAAGTATGTCTATGTCCCTCAAAACTTAGCAATGTATTTCATAGTTCACATAAAAGCAGAGAAGTCTCTCTTCTCCTTTTATATCTCCAGGAAATTTTCCCATGAAGGGAGGTGGCTTCATGATAACCAGTGGCTAATTTCGTAGGTTTTTGCAGCTGGTCTTTCTAATATGAATAGTAATGATACACAGGGACAATATTTGTTTTTGTTCTAGACTGCATATTTGATTTAATTTAACTTGTGTCTGTGATAAAGAACATTAGCTGTGCTGTAGTGGTGGTTTTCATGGACTTGTGTGTTGTTAGCCTCTAAAAAGCTGATCACACAGTCACTGCAGAGTGATAAATGGAATGAGTCATACAGATGGAACAAGGCCGAAGGCTTTTAGACCCGCCTCAAACTGAGAATGTGCTCCAGATACATCCACCACTGACTAAACTGCAGGTGCACAGGCTGGAAATATATGTTTCTACACACATGCGCGTATCTTCAAATTACACACACACAACCACAGCATGTCTCCCTCATGGCTGTCGTGCTGCTCCTGCAGCAGTCATTTCTAAATATAGCCCTCTAAATTGGTCCTGAAACTACTCAGCTGCTGATGTAAATTATATTATATTATGAATATTATCACGAATGGAAGCAGATATGCTTTTTATGTTCTATAGATCAAGGTTAGTTTATTTATAGTGGTTGTTTCTGCACAGGGCAGTTCAAACTGCATAACACAGAAACAGAGCAGTGAAAATCAAAACTATAAAATCAAAATGGAATGAAATGAGAAATAGTGAAAAACTAAAAACAAATAAAAGCCTCACATTTTGACTGCAGAAAATTTTTTATTTACAAAGCAAATTCAGCAGTACCTATTTTTTTTTTTTTTTTT